TCAGACTCGCCGAGTAGGATCGCAGATGGTCGGACTGATTTAATGGCGGACTCGGTGATTCCATTCGTGGACTCAGCGAGTCCACGCTGTTTACTGAAACCCAAATCCCCAAGGTTTGGGACCTATTTAAAGGGCCTTATAGCCACCATTCGCGGCTACTAGACCCTTGAGAGGAACCCTAAGAGATCGAGAGCGTTTGTGAGGAAGAAGAGGTCATTTCTGATCTTTGTGTGCGTGTTTTTGCAAGAAGAAGGTGGCCAAGGCAAGAGGGAACTAAATAGGGCGATATTCTGTGGATTTCAGAGGCTAGTGACTTCGTTCTGAGGTATATATTTCGATCCTTCTTCAGTTTGGTATTAATCTTTGAGAGTTAGGGTTTCTAGCCCCTTTAGAGTATGGATTGTGGTGCAATTGGTCCCTTCTTGTGTTGAGACTTCGGATCTGGATCCAAAGTGGTCCAGAGACCTTAAATCCATGTTCTTTATAAGTGTCTTCGGGAGATAAGAGTTTGGGATGGCATATTGGTGCCATTTCTTCAAATAGAGCCATTAGGTCTTTGCATGGGCATCAAGATCCAAACTTTACGTGTTTATTTTGCTTAAGGAGGCCAGATCTATGGGTTAGAGGAACGGATCTGACCTCAGGAGGTCATATGAGTTTGAGCATGGATTGAACTCGCCGAGTCCAAGAACAGACTCGACCAGTAAGATGGGTTTTCCCCATAAATCACACAGATGGTAACTCGCTGAGTTGGGGAAGTGACTCAGTGAGTCATTTGGAATTTTGAGGACGTGAGTTCATGACTAAACTCGCCGAGTCAAAATTGTGCACTCGGCAAGTCTGGTCAAAGGGTTGACCGTTGACTTTTGTTGACTTTTAGGGTTTGGTTAATTTTAGAGTATTTGAGCCTTGAGAGGGGTAAAATGGTCTTTTACCCTCCTAAGAGTGCTAAGATAGGGAATGGTCTAGCCTTGGGAAATGTGTTGATGTCGAGTGTTTGTTTTTGTATGATTAGGCGGAGGCTAGATCCTATTTCACGGAGTCCGAGATTTCTGAGTTACCAAGTTACACGAGGTGAGTCTTCTCACTATACGTTACTTAGGGTGGTATTATGAGTTTACCTGAAGGTCTTATGTGTTGTGTATGAGATTGTGTGCCATGTATGAGATTATGTGCTATGTGATGTAAGTATGACATATAATTGTATAGACCGGACCAGAGGGTCCAACGATTCAGACCGGGCCGGAGGGCCCAACGAGCTATGACCGGACCACAAGGTCAGATGAGCTACAGGACCGGAGCGTCCCGCTGAGACACATCGGCTGGAGAGTCGTACAGTAGCCTCGAGTGGGTAACTCACTGAGCATTTATGCTTACAGTTGTTGTGTTATATGTTTCAGGTACTAGCAAGGACCGTGGAAAGGCGCCGGCGTGAACCGTACACACAGAGAAGTTATTTGATTTGTGATCTTGAAATATGTTTGATTTGATAACTATTGTGGAATACGTTTTGAGAATGCTTTATATTTAAATTTTGGTTGTTGAAAAATGAAAATTTTGTTTTGAAAATCTCGTCGTTACATATAAGAGCTTTATAATTTTGATACAAGTGGATTAAATACATATTAAGTTAAAAATATAAGAAAATATGATGTTAGAATTCCATTTGATATGATAGAAGGTGTCACTTTTTGAGATATTGAAATCAAACCTTAGAGATACAATAAGAGAAAATGGTAAAAGTGTAGTTTGTAGTAGGTATGAAAGTGAAATGACACAAAGTCAAGTCAACTCAAAATTACTTGCAAATAACAAGTTATAAGTTAGGAAATACAGATAAAAGTCAAAGTGAAAGTTGATTGGAAATTTGTTATCCGATTGATTTATTATTCGTTGTATAATGATAACTAAATATTTTAAATGATGGTTAAATGAATATGTAAAATAATAAAATATCATTTTGTAAAAAAAATAATAATAATAATAAAACTTCATGAGGCTTTATAACTCAAGATCTAAAGCCTTATGAGAGGTAGCTTCTTAAACAAATATTGTAGTATTTATGATAAAGACTTCATAGATAAAGGTATTTGGTTTTGGGTTTGAAATGAATTAGTTATGATAATTCAAAAATGATTTATGAATAAGAAAAATTGACAAGGAAGTGTAGCTTGAAATCTAGGACTTTTGAGCATGAAATCGGTTAATACAAGTTATAGTACTCTTAACAAGAATTTGAGATAAAAAAGAAGATTCAATTAAAAAGTAGTTAATATGATAAAAGTATATCTATTTAAATTTAGAGGAAAATGCACGTGAATTTTTATCAAGTGTTGGAATTAACATTATAAAGGAATAATGTTTGAGGTTATCGTTATCAACTTAGTTATTTATTCAAGCTAACTATGGAGAACATAGATAATAATATATAACAAAAAGAATTAATCCAATTGGCATTTAAATGGAGAAATTATGATGGTTGAAAATTGGTTGTAAACTCATTCGTGTGAACCAAATAAGGAAACGAAACGAGTATAATTGAATTTTTTTTTTTTATGGTTTATGGATTGTATAATCTTAATGTTAAGTGATTTGGGGAGAATGCAAAGGTTTCATGAAGCAAAAATAAAGGATTGCATGATTTTTGGAGATGTTCAAAAACTCTCTAAGAAGGTACTCTTGTGTGACCTCCCACTATCTAAATCTAAGTGTGATATGTCCTTTGATAGTGAATGTAACACTACAAGAAAAAGATCCTTTTACGACGTGCAAACCATGACACTCGTTGATTTATGTTACGCAAAAGAGAGTGACATTAAAAAGGTGTCATCTCTTAAAAAAATTTAAGAATTTATATCACGCATTATTGCGTGCCCTTTAATTAGCGTCTAACAAAAAAAAACACGGAGGGCACCTCTATCAAAATGCGTGTCGTCTAAGGATGTCACTTTATAAATTTTAATGGAATGCGCGTTCCATCCTTTAATAGCTAGGGGGAAAATAAAATTCTAAAATATTAAAAACCCCACCTTCCTTTTTTCTCCTTTCCCTCTTGCCCTAATTATTGACGCCGCCTACTTCTTCCCTCTCACTTCGACCATTGTTACTTGCTATTCCCGGTCGTCTGTCGATCAAGGCAATAGTAGACTTGCCTTTCCATGTAAACCCTAGGCCTCATTTGCAGGTTTCGTTCTATGATATGGTTTCGTTCATCTGGAATCAACTGCCATCGTCGATCTGGTATGGTTTTGTTCAATTTTTTTGTAGAAAGTTTTGGAGATGGTGGTTTGTGGCGGTGGTTTCGTTCATCTGGAATCAACTGCCATTGGTGTAGTTTCTCCCAATGATGCTTTCCACTCTTAGATCCCCTTTAATCGACACCTCTTCTTAATTCTTTGCTGCTGACTCACCCTAAATCAGGTAATACTGACCTGGCGGTGGGCTTTCCTTCTTGATGGTGGAGTGTTTCCCCAAAGCTGCTTGGTTTGAAGCGCCGATGAACCGTACCCTTACCACCTGTACTTCTGTTTTCTGACTCACCCTCTGTTAATACCATCTATTAATAACTTCAGTCGCCTGCTCCTTATGTGGCTTTCAATTTCGTCTCCTTATTTTTTTGCTATTTCTCTCTAGACAACGCTTCAGGTGAGGTTTGAATTCAATTTATTATTGTATTATTTATGTTTTATGATGCTTGCAATTTCAAGGGTTTGCATGTTGGTGCTTCATAGTTGATATCTCTTATTTATTAGGTATCGTAGGGATTGGTCTTGAAGGGGAATGAAAACTAGCAATTCATGGTTCAAACATTGAAGGTAATTTCTTTGTCGAAGTCATAGTAACAGATTGATGTGATATCAGATCTTTGTTGGACCAATGTCTTTTATCTTGTTCACTAAACTAAAGGATAAAAAAAATTTGCTTTCACTTTGTAAGATGATATATATGCTATCTGTTCTTGTAGTTACCACAAAACGTATTTCACTTTGTGATTTTGTTGGACCAATGTCTTTTATCTTGTTCACTAGACTAAAGGATAAAAAAAAATTTCTTTCACTTTGTAAGATGATATATATGCTATCTGTTCTTGTAGTTACCATAAAACGTATTTCACTTTGTGATTCTATTTGGTGCAAAAGTAGAAGACGATGCCTAATCCACTAATTGATTCCGTTGTTCTCTAGAAATTTGGATAGGGTTTAGTAACTCATATATTGTTTTATATATTTTGATTCAGTTCATCTTTATATTCTATTTGATTAGGGGTTATTGTTAATAACCAAACAGTGGTCGGAGGGGAAAGAAACATCAAGGGAGGTAGGAGGTAACCAGAACAAAGCGACTTCTCATGCTAACTGAAATATGGAAGTTTCTTGCCAATTTGAAGAAAGAAAGGTATCTGTTTGCCTTTCACAATTTCATTTTTTTTCAATCTAGGGTTTTGTTTTTTCATTTTTATATTTTTCATAACATTCTTGTTTGGTTACAAATATTTTGATTTGGAAGTGCAGTAACTAGCTTCAATTGACAACAAGCTTCATCTAATCCTCGTGACTGATTTGAAGTTGTATTTAATGGGATGGTAATGCTTTATTCCTACCCTCTGTCCGGGACAACTGACATTTCTGGCTACCGTTCTTAGTAACAGGTAAGAAAAAAAACTATTCTAATTCTATTTCATATTTAGTATAAGTTAAAAGAATAATCTTTATTGGTTAATGTTTTTTTAACCAATTTTTGTTTCCCAAAGATTCAATAGAATATTGGATTTCCTCTAAAGGAGAAGGTCAATATTTGATTTTTTATGTTATTGTTCTTAAGAATCGTATGTAAAACTAATATGATGTTTTCAAACTGCTATTTAGAGATATTTTTTCAAAATATACCTTTTAAGGAAATAATATATAAAATAAACTTTATTTGACCCTAACAGGTGATTTACCGGTTTGATGTCCATTGCTGACATTTATTTTTCTCTTTTTTCACGTTGATTGATCTTGATGACCTTTGAAGGTGGGAAACATGAAACGTTAGTAAGTTCCATCATCAATGAATCGGATGAAAGAAGCCTGAAGATGATTTTGAACCAACCCTCTTGCCCCAAATCCCTAATTTTCCATGTTCAGGTAAACATATATTGCTCTCACATACAAATTTTATGAGATCTTCTTGAAGTTAATTTTATTGTTGCTCTTAATTTTTTATTTTGTAGATAAATTTACTTATCGAGTAACAAAACATGAACATAGTTTATTTCATCTGAATCAGTGCACCTAAGTTAAATTAACATTCTTTCAATTAAGAAACCTAACAACTAAAATTTGAATTTCAATTACTTGTTAGTCTTAAGTAGTTAATATTCTGTTAGGTTTTGTTGAAAATCAAATTTTAATTTTTAGGTTTTTTAATTGAAAGAATGTAAATTTAACTTGGGTTCACGTTGCAAGAGATTTGGATTAAAAAAAAATGATGAGATCGATGTCTACGTCGATAAGCAGCTTTCCCACCAATCACTTATAGAGATGGATTTTGAGTCAATGTAGTTGCTTTCCCCCTTACACAGATGGTAGGTTACATGCTGTCATGGTCAACCTCATCATCCTTTCCTTAGCATGGCATAACACTGGGGTTCCAAAAACAAATGGTATGTCGTACCTCTTTAATTTGTTATATTACCTTTTCCTAATCTTTTTCACAACTTTTTATAGCTATTTTACCCTGAATTTTGCTAATATTTTTATCTATCAAATTTTTAGTTCAGGTGCAATTTGTTGTCCAATTTTCCGAGAGAGGAAGGGAACTGATGGTGATACAAGTATTCGGGAAGCACAAATTTTGTTACTTTATAAGCCAGGGTATCTACTAAGCTGTACAGCCTGAATCTTTGCAAGTTATGCTGGAAGGTGAATGCTCTTTATTATTATTATTATTATTATTATTATTATTATTATTATTATTATTATTATTATTATTATGATTATTATTATTATTATTATTATTATTATTATTATTATGATTATGATTATGATTATGATTACGATTATGATTACGATTATGATTACGATTATGATTACGATTATGATTACGATTAGGATTATGATTATGATTATGATTATGATTAGGATTAGGATTAGGATTAGGATTAGGATTAGGATTAGGATTAGGATTATGATTATGATTAGGATTATGATTATGATTAGGATTAGGATTATGATTATGATTATGATTATGATTATGATTATGATTATGATTATGATTATGATTATGATTACGATTACGATTACGATTAGGATTAGGATTATGATTATGATTATGATTATGATTATGATTACGATTATGATTACGATTATGATTACGATTATGATTACGATTATGATTATGATTAGGATTACGATTAGGATTACGATTAGGATTACGATTATGATTATGATTATGATTACGATTACGATTATGATTACGATTATGATTACGATTATGATTATGATTATGATTATGATTATGATTATGATTATGATTATGATTATGATTATGATTCTGATTATGATTATGATTATGAGTATGATTATGATTATGATTATGATTATGATTATGATTATGATTATGATTATGATTATGATTATGATTATGATTATGATTAGGATTATGATTATGATTATGATTATGATTATGATTAGGATTACGATTACGATTAGGATTACGATTATGATTACGATTAGGATTACGATTAGGATTAGGATTATGATTACGATTAGGATTACGATTAGGATTATGATTATGATTATGATTATGATTGATTATGATTATGATTATGATTATGATTATGATTACGATTACGATTACGATTACGATTACGATTACGATTACGATTACGATTACGATTACGATTACGATTACGATTACGATTACGATTACGATTACGATTACGATTACGATTACAATTACAATTATGATTATGATTATGATTATGATTATGATTATGATTATGATTATGATTATGATTATGATTATGATCTGAAATAGCAAATAAATAAAAGCTAATACATTTTCATTTTCATTGTAACTTGTTTGTAATGACAGTCGTTGTTCAAATAGAGATATTAGTGTTATCTTTTTCTGCACACAATATAGCATATGAAATAATTAAAATATGTTTCGCACTACAAATTTCATATAATTATGTGTCAGTTTTCTATAAATTATGCATTGATGGCTTTGATGTTTACAGACTGTGGATCTTGATTTCCCTAACACAACTGAATGCTATAGACTTTATTGCCAGGTTTGTTATTATATGGATTGGAAATTCCTTTTCAAAATTGTTATAATCATAAATATTATTATTATTATTGTTGTTGCTGTTATCATGATAATTATTACTGTTACAGAGGTTTATTGCCAGTGATATAAAGGAATGTGTGTATGGTGTTCCTGATACTCCATATGATGGTTGGTGTTCCTTTTTTCATATATCAGATACACTGAAGGCACTAAGAGAAAATGTGTCATTTAGGAAGGTTGAGCTTGATTCCTTACGTGGACAAGCTACAGTTTTGGCTGTACTTGCGTCTGTCTCCCCAAAGCTGCCTCTTGGCTATCCAGCCAGGTAACACTTTGAACTTTCATCATATTTATGATGCTGAAGGGGTAAATAGATAGTGGTTTATTTAATTAATTATAGGCAGGAGTGTTTAATGATTTTTCTTTTATTTAATTAATTATAGGCAGGAGAAAGAATTTTATGTCGCCACCAGGAGAACATCCCAATTCTTAAAATAATAATTAATATGTTAATTGATATGATCTTGTCTATATCTATGAACACCCCTCTTGCTAAGGTCATACACTTTTTTTCTTCATTAAACTGATAATCAAGGTTATAAATAATATAATTTAACTTCTGCATCTTCTCATATATGTGTACATTTTTTTTATTCTTACCTTCAGCATATTTAATTTCAGGAACTAGTTTGGCACTTGCTGGAGTTTTCCTATATTCAAGAGTAAAGAGGATAAAGCCAACCCCAAAACCAAAGGCTGCTTAACTGGTAAAATTGGGCTTCAAATCAAAAACCTAATTGCTGCCAACAGCTTTCTTTTTGAACAAAAATTGGTATTTTTTGTTGGTGGTAAATCAAATGGCTCTGGTTTTTATATTGGAAACTTGAATCATATTCTCGCTTAAGGACCTTTTTGTCTTCTCAAATTACCACATTATCTATCCCTAGGACATTGTCAATTCCAGAGAGGTAACTAATATTTTATATTGGAAACTTGAATCATATTCTTCTTTCTTACATAAATTTTGTTGAAAACATGTATGCTAGTTTATGGGGGCTTCGAAGTTATCCTTTCTTCTAGAGTATGACTCCAAGCTAAATTTTAATATTTTATACAGGTATGGGTTGTATTGAATAACTGCAATGACAATTGCCAAAAGGTATTTTACTATTTCACTCTTTGATATTAAAACAGCCTTGCCCCTGGTTCAGGGGTTGTCACAAAATACTTGCTCCAGAGGTAAAATTACGAATAGGGCATGTACAATGACTTAGTTCTGAAATATAGTCTTATGCCTGCCATGTGTTTGACATATTGTCTCTGAGAGATGAAGATGTTTGAAAAAGTCTAAAGGTGACTTTTAGCAGAAGGTGTAAGCAAAGCTGCAGAGATAGCAGATTCTACTCTCAGTAATGTGTATCAGGCAATGGGATTTTTAAAGAGATGAACAAACAATATATAATAAATTGACCAATTTTTTTTTAGAGATAGCATATTTAAGAAATGGTTAACTTTCCAGATTTGACCATTGGTGGAGCCCACTAATATTATCAAGGACCATCCCACGCTGCAATATTCCTGGCGTGATCTTGTCTCAAAGGGTAAGCATTGAATCTTCTATACATTTCACTTGGTTTTTGTTTAGTTTTAGATCACTTAGTGTATCTAATAACAACTTTTCCACTTCCATTTTGTGGATTTGTCAAAGGAGTTCTAATTTTGTGTTTATCCTTTCGCCTATGCAGATAATAATAATGCTCTTACCATAGTAATCTATATAACTGTCTTCCTAATACAGAAGGAAGGTTTATTGATCAGGGGTGTTTTGCAAGATATTCAATCACTCCAGTTTCAGTGATAATCAGACAATTGATATCACAAATCTACTAAAAGGTGAGGTATCTTCTTTTTCCTTTCATTTTGTTATTGCTATCATAATAACACTTGTATTCTTCTATATTACAGGAAAAAAAAAGTCAAATAAGGTACCCATAATTGTTGGAGCAGTTGGGGGTGTAGGCCTCTTCTTTCTTGATATTTCTTTAGGATTATATTATCTTATATGGAAGAAGTCTAAGAGGACTAAAGAAGGTATATCATGTATATATATCATATGTATATATCTGACGTATTAGCATTTGACTAATCCCATGGAAAGAATTTAAAATAAATGCAGCTTACAACGCTTGCATTACATACTACTTCCTGAAATATAGTTTTTATATGAAATATTATGTTGAGTTTCATACGTTTTCACGTGAACCATGTGATATTTTAGATGCACCAGTGTTCAAGAGGGCGGTCAACTACATTAGGTTGGATATAAACATAACTATCTGGACAGTTAAAAGTTTTTAGAGAGTCGTACCAATTCTGGAACTCTCAATCTACCAACATTAGAGTTTAATTGGGTGATTGAAGGTGATTTCGGTTCTTGAAATGAGACTCAAGATATCATATTTTGGCATGGATAGAAGCTTTGGAGGAAACAAGACTCAAGAAAAAGTAAACACACAGAGAGTTCTTGGCACATAGTAAGCTAGATGATGCAATTGTATATAAATGAGTTTATTTTTTTTATAACATTTACTCCCTTTTGGAATAATTATTTGTATTTGACATATTAGTGAAATGAATTATCTTTGTTATTTATGGTATTTTCTTTTGTATTATGAGATTTATAATGTATTATTTAATTTGAAAATTAGTAAATCTATAAATAATATTTTTTTTAAACATTTAAAATTATGATACGCAAAAATGTGTGCCATCTTCATTTATGACATGACCTTTCTTGATAGGAGCTTTCTTGATACGCATTGCGTGTCATTAACACGCGCGTCGTAAGGTTATGACACGCGAATACGTGTCGTCTTCCTTTATGACAGGGTCTTCCTTGATACGCATTGCGTGTCGTTATTGTGCGTCGTAAATGAGCGTCGTAAATGCGCGTCGTCTCTCTTTATGATAGGGCCTTCCTTGACGCGCATTTGCGCGTCATCTGAGCCTTTTACGACGCGCAATAAGCATCGTAAAAGGCTGTTTTTCTAGTAGTGTAATGTGGAAAACAATGAAAGAATAATCGGGTTAAATGGAGATCATTTGAGAAAAATATGAGGCTCAAAGTTGGAAGGAAATCAAAATGGAAAAAGCACGGTTTCAATGTAGGAAGTTACATAGAGTCATTTTGTCAAGTCAGTCGACGTGTGGCTGACCAACTCCCACTTTTTCGACGCATGAGACACATGATAGCTCTAGTGGATCTAAATTTTTGATATGTTGGTAAAATCTTTAGTTAAATATGAACATGATGTACATGTCATTTAGAGATTATTTGACAAATCTAAATGAAGTGATCTCGGGCCAGCAAAACCTCATTTCATCCAAAACTCTCTCCAACTTTTATATATGTATGTATGTGTTTATGGTGCCATAGAGTTTATATATCATGTCTAATTAGAAATCAAGGTCAACTCAATGGATATTTCTAGCTAATTGAAGAAAACGTGGTATTACTAACTTTGATTAAAATTTCAATCTAAGCTTTTAGAATTGGAATGAAGTATAATTTCCTCTCCCTTAATTATAACAAAATAACTTTTCAAAACCCTGCATCTTTGCAAATTGAAACTTTTGTTTTCTACAAGTAACATTGCTAACTTGTAATACTTAACATAATGATCATGCTCCCACTAACTTGATAATTATATCCTTATTATCATAACACTTATGATTCCACTAGCTTTGACATATGTCCAGAAATCAGCTGGGCTTCTAGAAATCAATACTTTATTGACTTTCATTACAAAATTTAACATTTCAGATACGAGATGCTTCGATAAGACTTTATCTAAGCTTCTTAAACTCATACAGCTTTTCTTAAATAGCTCACATGTGTGTCTAAAGAATTATGAAGATGGACGTTGTAATCATAATGTTTAGACCTTTTGCTATTTCTCACAATTTGAGCTATTTTAAAATCTACTTAGTGAAAGCGTTTCCTCACCATGATTTTCATGAATCGGAGAGAAACCTTATGACACTTAGATTTTTATTGTGTATGTGTTCCTATCCATGTGAATTTGTCAAAAACATAATCACAAGACAATTCTAGTGACAAATCCAAACCCATATGGACAGAACTTGTGTAATCTTCATTTCTCGCCACTTGGCAGCACAAGGGCCTACCAGTGCTTCCAGGTTGTTATGAAAACAATTGAGAAATCATAGAACTCACAAGCATAGTCAACTTTAGCATAGAAATAAGAATATGTCAACAGAATACCTTGTAAACTTCAAGTCGTGTGCTAGTGATAAACAATACCCTTGATTAGTTCTTGAAAAAATTTCAAGATCTTTAAGACTCCTACTGACCTCTTGACATATAAGACTCTTTGTCAAAAACCACTCCTTGAAAAAACAAATATTCAATAGTTAGTGCAGATTCTTATCAAGAATAACACTCCACACAATTGGTCTTAGTTGGTCTTTGTCTTATCCAAAACATCACAACTCACAAATTTCAAATGTACAAGAGTAGAAAACATTTGTAACACCGTAAATTTCAAAACAATTTTTCATTTAAATATAATGGTTTAATTCTTAAAAACACTTTTCTTAAAATCTCATTCTTAATCAAATTACAAAACGTAACTCCATTTTCACTTGCATAATAAACCAGGATCCTCAAAACATGACTCCTTCGCTAGTGTGTACAATCGAGCCGGTGCCGTCCCATGATCCTGAGAGAAACCTGAAACACATAACACAAAACACTGTAAGCACGAAGCTTAGTGAGTTCCCCAAAATACCACATATAACACATATTAGCCACTCAAGGCTATAACTTTGTGGGTTCGTGCACCCAAGCTCTGTGAACCCTCAAGTTCTAACTCTGCAAGCATGCACAGCATAAATCACATAGAAGAATGCAATACAACAACAATAGATATAAAACACTGTATCACATAACTCTTTTTACCTACTCAAGGTTAAGTATAGTGTGAAGACTCACCTCGTGTATCTTGGTAACTCGTAAATCCCTGAAATCACTAGTGCTCGATATCCCGAGCTATAGTCCTCCTATAACACAATACATCTCTAATTAACACTTTCCCAACTAAGGTTGACTAACCCTATCAAGTCAACACCGGTCAACTATGGTCAATGGTCAATGGTCAACCCCAACTCGCCGAGTCTGGCGTGGACTCGCCGAGTCCCTACGAGGGCCCCATTTCCTCTGAGTCCCTTCCGACTCACCGAGTCACTCACCCAACTCGGTTACTCAACCCCTGGTTCGAAATCTATGAACAACCCGCACCAGCTCGTCGAGTCTGCCAATGGACTCGGCGAGTGCATTCCATGCACAACCCCAAACGACCTTATGAGGTCAGATTTATTCCACTAACTCGTAGATCCAGTCCTTCGAAGCTTATTTATCACGTAAAGTTCATGTCTTAGCGCTCATATCACACCTAATGACTCATAAATGGTGTTTT